TAACTTTATACCTTTGCTGGATATTTGCAGTGCATCTTTGATTTCCTTGTCCCCTAAGCGGGTAAGGAAGTGGTCGAGGGCCTCATTAGCCTCCTTGCTGGCCTGACCACAGTGGCCATCATTGCTCCTCCACTGGCGCAAAAGGCCATTCATCTGGCTAAGTCTAATGCTGAAGAGTTTCATCCCTCCAGTACATGCACTGGAGGCCAAGCTGAGGGCAGTGCGCAAGGCACGGGAATACCGCTCAGCTTCTGTGATGTGGGGCTGCGGCTGGGGACGAAAGGCATCCCGGGTAAGTGCATGGTTGTGGATGTCATTGACATTGAGGACCTCAAGAGCATTGCCATCTGGGGAGAGACGCAGATAGACCTCAAAGGGGCAGCCTTGGCGGAAAGAGCAAGATGAGCGCTTCTTGTCAGTCCTCTGTACCGGTGCTTTCCCACCAAATTTGCAAGACAGTTTTACCGAGTAGTACCTGAGTGCCGTTTTGGCCATGTTGACACGTTTGGGAGCACGCTTCTTGGCTGACTCCAGGGTGCGCACATCCCGCTTCCATAGTTCACAATAGTTGGCATACTGGTACTGCTGCTGTGCTTCCTCCAGCTCCTCCAGAGTATCAAAGCGCTTGCCCACCTGGAAGAAGGCATCCTCACTCCCTGGCTCCTCCTCAAAGCACACCCTGATTGCTGCTCCTCATACTCTTCCTCCTCATCTTCATCTCTGTTTGAGCTGCTCACTCCGTCACTGTCACAAGACGAGATCTCTTCCTGGTACAAGGAATGACAAGTCAGCTAGTGTCTGGCATTCTATATACATGTATCTTCACAATATCATACTTAATGCATTAGTGTTACAATCTTGAGAATTCTACTACTTGTTTTGCGCTCACTGAACTTTTGTTTTTACTTTTGTTTTATAAAAATGGAAAAAATATCTAGCAACAACTGACCTTCAGCGAGATTTCCAGATAGTCCTCCATTAGCTTTGCCTTTTATTTTTTGTTTCTTTTTCTGTCACTCAAGTTGAATTCTATTGTTGTTTGTGTTTATCTGCAACAGTGATTTGATGATAACCTGCTCTGATTGTTAATCCATCAAGTACAGTCACCATGAGGTATTTTATAACTAAAAAATCAATGTTTACAATATAAACAATAAATCATTTTATTCAAATAATCAATCAATCAATGGTAATTCTATGCAGTAAGCTGCTAATTGCTAATACTAACAAATTTGGTATTGCATGTAATGTATACAGTCCAGATTTCATAATGGCAATATCAGCCCTCATTAGAGCAATGTAGTGACAAGCAATTTATAGACCCATATAATTTATGGCTGAATGAACAGTCCAAGCTTTGCTTGCCTTTACTGGAGAGCTGTAGGTGCAAAGGCCACAGTAATCTTATAGGGTTCATTATTTCCAAGACTGTTACTTGTACATTTTTATGTTTATCCCACAATTTCCATGGTATGTTTCATGCCCTCCCCAATGACTTAGGGAAAAAATTGTCATTATAACTGGTTTCAATGGAAAACATCCAAACTGTAAACATGGAAAACAGCCCATTGTCAACAAATTCATCAGTATCAATGTATTCTTTGTATTTAATTACTGATATCATGACCAATATTGGGACTGTAGGTTATTATTATGTATCTAAACTTTGAAAATGTTATCAAATGATTTGTGTCAACTTAGAAAACTGGTGCTGTTCTTCCAAATGGTGTGCAATGCCCATTCATAAGTCTTAGTTAACAATGACCAATTACAATGATGACATGACCTAAAACCTCTCTCTCACCAAAGTATACATAATGGAGAGCTGTTGGCCATTTGTCAAAGTGCCAAAGATGCAGAAGCCACATGACTGCTTAATGTTGCTTCACTTTAATCCCTTGCATCTGGATGATGTGACCCACACCATGAAAAAATTTGGTTTGAGGGGCAAGTGGCATGAACATATGGTAAAATTTGGTTGAGGGCTGGGGTGACATGAACTTGCCATCATGCGAAATTCTACTGAAGTCCAGGCTGATGGAAATGACTTGAAATGAGTGCACAAAGCTCTTGGTGTATGAGCAGGCTTAGCGGGCATTCAGGAAGGGGCTCTTGTGTTATTCCTGTCAGTAAATGAGTGCAGAATGTGCCACCTATGAGCCATGACTGGAAAAGCACTGGTTTGAAGGAGGACACTTATTCCCATACTCAGGGTCCTATTAGTGCCTGACGTGACTAGCGCACAGGTTGTATTACAGAAGACTGAATATTACAGAAAAAAAATTAAACAACACAAATAACAATGTGTTACATATTGTTACTATTAGTAAGAAATGAAAAGGGGTCTGTGCTAGGAAAAAAGTCTATTACCATGAGGATACAGAATATCAAATGACAAATATATAATAAAATTGCAAAAGAGCTAAAAAAGCTGAAAAAGAAATAACACTGCATGGGATCGGCAAATGGTCTTGACACCGCACATGAGTATTTGTGTTTT